TTTTTTTGTCTGATTTTTTTTTTTTCTTTTGTCCTTTTGTTTTTTTTTTTTTTTTTTTTTTTTTTTTTTTTTTTTTTTTTTTTTTTTTTTTGAGAATAGATGTATTGAAGAATGGATGATTTTTTTTTTTTAGGGTTCTAGCGGTTTGTTTGGCTTCGTGAAAGAAATGAAAATAGTAGATGGTGATTATATATATATACACACATTAAGCAATTAAGTTTAATGACTAGAGTAGGTTGATGTGTAAATGAAATGTAGAATGTGGAAAATTGCATCATTACATCTGCATATTGACTGCATCACAGTCCTCAATGATATGCTAAAAATAATACTTCAAAATCGTTGTTGTTACAGATATTTACAAGCGAAAAGAAATTCGAAAGCTATATATACTGGGCAGATCCTAGAAATATTTAGAGGAAAAAGAATTTGAAAAAAATAGATGATATCAAAATAAAATCCTTTTCAATTAGAAACTTTCCAATAGTGCTGAAAAAAGAAGTTTCATACCCTTACAATATATTTTTTTTCTCCCTCTCCCTTGCCCCCTCCCATTCCTAATCCCCTCCTACCCCTCTCCCTGCCCCCCCCTTTTCCCTCTCCCTGACCCCCTCCTCCCCTCCCTTTTCCCTTTCCCTCTTCCTACTCCCATTCCTAATACCCCTCTCCCTCCCCCCCCTTTCCCTCTCCCTCTCCCCCCCCCTCCCTTACCCTCTCCGTTTCCCCTCAGCTGAAGTGTTATCCTTCACATTTCCCCTCGATCCTTCATTCACTTGCCTGCACAGCTTTAAATCGCGGGCGTGTGTGGGCGCGATTCATCGAATTGTTTTGACGTTTGGAAAAAATGGGAATTTCGATAAATGTAACTTTTTTTTTTTTTTACATATGCAGATCTTTTTTCTCTTTTTTGGAATAAATGTATTTATAAAATTCGTATTTTGGAGGGTTGTATACCTTCACTGTTTTTTTAAGCTTGAAAAGAAAGAAAAAAAATGCAAATTAAAGATAAATTTAGATCAGAAGTTTAACTGAATGGCTCCTCGACATATCATCAATCTACGTGTCTCTCCCTCCCTTTATCTGTCTGTCTCTATGGCCCCTTTCTCGTTTGCTTCCAACTCCCATCTTTCATTAATATTCACACGGCTTCTGGATGCTGCAAAGGACGCACGAGATAAATATAGATAGCCGAGGCAGCTTGATAATGCAGAGCAAATAAACATTAAGTCAACAAGGCTGCTGCCGGTGACGTCATTGCAGAGCCGTTGCCATGGTTACGAAAATCGACATCTGGGTTGTTTTTCACAGTTTATTTTTTTCTTTTTTTTTTCTTGGCCTTAATTCTTCTTGTCTTGTTTATTTGTGTTTTGATTCTGATGAACGAGACAAAATTGAATTGTCGTGACTGGAAACAACATGACAGAGAAATTGTTATTGTAAGTCCTCTTTCATTCCTTTTCGCTTAAAAACGGTATCGCGCTTTGCAATTTTCTGTCGCTTTATGATTCGAGCATAAAAACGATCTTCTAAATCCCGCAGAAGTTCAAGAAAATAAATAAAACACAGATGAAGTCTGCACTGTCATTGGTCTTACTAGAATCACATTTAAAAGGCAATTTCCAATAGAAAATCTGAATATAGATACACATCATATCAAAAATGAAATAACGAACTTTTTTTTTCATTCTATTTTACTATCAAAATCACAAAGGGGAAAACGATCAGCTTATGTCCATCCGAAACTTGGTTCCGTTTCCGTAAATAGAAAAAAAATAGTATATGGTACTAAAGCTATGTTTCCCTAAAGAGTAAGGAGGGATAAAGAGAGTAGAAGAAGATGAGGAATAAGGGAAGGGGGGATTAGGGACTGGGGTAAGATTAGGGAAAAATAAGAAATGCAAAGGTTGCAGAATGGCAGAAGAAGAACAAGGAGGAAGAAGAATAAAAAAGAATAAAAAAGAAGAGATAAAGAAGGATGAGAAGGTAAAAAAAGTAAAAAATATATATATATGAAAAAAATAACATAGATATATATATATATGTTTCCCCCGTTATGTCAGTAGTTCTTATTTCATAGCTGGCCTCTCTCTCTCGCTGGTCGTAGTAGATAACACCTCTCGCGGAAGCCCAGCGGGGGCGGGGGGGCGAATCTCGAGGAAGAGGAGAGAAAGAAAGAGGATGGGAAGGAAGGAGGAGGATGGGAAGGAGGAGGGGGAGGAGAGGAGGATGGGGAGGTGGGGAGGGTGGGAGGCGGGTGGGGAGGGAGGGGGAGGAGGAGGGAGAGAAGGAAGAAGTGTGGTGAGATTCGCCCGTGAATGCTTATTACGGTGACGGATGCCAAGATTGGTGGCATTTGCTGATCAGTGACTATGATCATTTTTTTGGTCAATAGTTGTTTATGGCGTTTTTATTTATTTTCGTTTTTTGGTCGTATTTCCTTCGGATGTGTTTTATGATGTGGAATTAACATATACATATATAATTCGTTTCTCGCGAGACGGTCATTTCATTTACGTATTTCCTCGATAACCTCTTTAAATCTCTCTTTTCACCTTTGCTTTACTTCAAGCTTTCTAGAATAAGACGAAACATTACGAAACACAACGGCGAACAGCGAAATGTAAACGAAAACCTGCCTTGGAAGACACCCACAAATCGTTCTCTTTCCGTAAAAAAAAAAAAAAAAATCTAACATTAAAGGGACAGAGGAAGGAGGCGACTGAGAGGGACGAGGACTGAGGGAGACAGAAACAAGGGGGAGAAGGAGGGGGAAGGGGAAGGGGAAAGGGGGAGGAAAACCAGAAAAAGGACAAGATGTTCTCCTAAGGATGAGAATCAGGAGTAAGGAGGTAAAAAAAAGATGAGGGTATCCCTGTCTGTGAGCCCCAGGCCGACTTTCTGAGGGAAAGTGCCCGAAAGACGCCACCGTCCTGGCTCTTTCTCTCTCTCTCTCTCTCTCTCTCATACACTGTTGCTGGAACTACTGTTGCTGCTGCTGCCGTTTTCTCTCGCTCAGGTTAGACCGCGCGATCCCAGCGGGGGGGAAGTACAAGGCGAATCTCGAAGGAATAAAGGAAGGGAGGAGTAAAGGAAGGAAGGAGTAAAGGGAGGGTAAGGGAAGATGGGAGAGAAGGGTGTAGATAGGTGGGAAGGGGGAAGGGGGGAGGGAGGGATTGCTAAGACATGAGATTCGCCTTTTAGTGGTTACGGTAAGAGGGGCGTCGGTGGGGCCAAGACACATTTAATTTCTGACGATGATAACGTAAGTAAGCGTGTGATTTTATGATAAACGATATTTCCTATTATAGATATTTAAAAAAGTGGATTTAAAAAAAAGATTCCGATGATTCGAAATCATACTTCGATTGCTGTAAAGAGCTCAAATCCCAGGAACATCGTGTATTGGGAATGGAGTCCTCGTTGGCTGCCAGGCTTTCTTCGTGTTTCCACAAAGATCGGATTCCGCTAAGAAGAAAGGCGAAGAAAACTCAAAATAAGAGGATGAGAAACGGAAAGAGGAAATAAGGAGGGGTGAGAAATAGGGGACCATGAGGCGGAGGCTGCGAGGGAGGAGGAGCGGAGATTGAGGGAGGAGGAGGGGAATGGGCAGGTCGGATACACAGGGAAAATCGTGGACTCAAAGAAAGGTTTATCAAATAACGAAAAGGGAAAAGGGATAACGAAGAGGAATATCAGAAGAGGAGAAGAGAAAAAAAGAGGAATAAACAAAAATAAACCCAAGTGTAAGAGGAGGCTGACTCCTGCATCGGGACCCCGTGTTGTCACAGTGAGAGATCTCGCTGTAGTATACCGTAGCAGGCCAAACTTTCTGAGGGAAAGTGCTGGTGCTTTCAGTCGACACCGCGGACCAGGCCCCGAGCGGGGGGGGGGCGGGGTGCAAATCCGTCTTTGGGATAAAAAGCAGGAAAGAAGGAAGAGAAAAGAGAAGAGGGAGGAGGGAGGAGGGGGTTGTGGGGG